AAAAAAAAAAAAAAAAAAAAAAAAAAAAAAAAAAAAAAAAGTAGTAAAAAGTTAAACCTTTGGACTTTCTGCTGTTACACAAACGGCTCTGCTGCTGCACGTTATCAGGAGAGTGTGTGAGAAAAATTAATTCATTAATTCCAAGAAAAGAAGAAAACTCTGGTTTTACTGAGATGGTGCAGGTGTGGTGGGAGTGTTGGAATGGAGCGGTAGAGGGGCTTTAGGAACGGGAGAATTCAGAGCCTCTTCCAGTACCTAAAGGGGCTCCAAGAGAACTTTTCCAGGTCTCTTCCAACCCAAACCTACCCAGGACCGGGATTTTGGGAGAAAGCCGAGCCAGAGAAGTGTGGTTAATGCTTTTGCTAGGGATGAACTCTGAACTCCCTTCCTGGCACCTCCCCGATGACTCACCCGATGTTAAAGAATGTTTGCTGCCATTTTTATAAGCGGTGCCCGAGGCAGAAAATCTGCAGGTGGTGGGCTGAAAAATGGGACCAGCACGGAGCCAGGGGAAAAATGCTGCTCGCCAGGGAAATTGCTGCTCGCCAGGGAAAAATGCTGCTCATCAGGGAAAGGGCTTAGCGCGTCCCCAAAACCATGGGGCTGCTGAGCATCCCCTCCCCAGGGAGGAGAGCAGCGAGGCTCCTTTGACCCAGCTGGATTAGGAGGATCACGGCTAATCCGCTCCGGATGTGGATATTTGGGAAGCACTTTGCAAAGTGCTTGGAAACTTCGTGGCGGCATTCATGCCAGGACAAGCGTGGCCACCTTGTTGTCACCTCACACAGGGAATTTTTCAGCCTGGTCGTGCCACGATGGGTGAAGCTGAAATGTGATTTCGAGGAGGAGAAGGACAATTCCTGTTCGTTTCTTGGGTGGGTACTTTATTACAAGCCCCAAAAACTATGTGGGGCCTTTTGTTTAACCAAAACCATGTGTTCTGTGCTCTGGACACCACTGGCTGCAGCTGAAGTCATTGGAGTCCTCAAAGAATGATTCATTTTTCAGTTAGAGTAAAATTAGGACAAGGTTTAGGTCTAGAACTACAGCGAAATGCTAATCCGTGTGCAAATGGGATGGGGAAGGATCCATCCTCTCTGAAAAATCAACCTGATGCTCTTTAGGGCACTGAATTCAACCAGGAAAAACCGGGATGTGTGGCAAGGGGCACATGGAAGTGGAAAATTCACATTTCATCCTGGTTCCACGGCCATCCCAGCAGTGGGAGGTCACCCCTGAGCATCCAGACCCTGTTATCCCATCCTCCTCCCACCCAACGCTTATTGGGAAGCCTCAGGGTTTTCTCTTTCCATCTCACTCCCCCCATTTATGAAACTGCCCCAAGTTATCTGTGCTGACAAAACCTCAGGGAGAATATTTGTACAAAGGCAGCTCATTGTCCAGCCCGAGGGGATTTAAGGTGTGGGGAGGGGTCAGGGTCACCCTCTCCCTGTCCCCAGCCACCCCGAGGAGTGGGACACTGACACACACATCACTCCTTTTCCCAGCAAGAATTTCCACCCCGGAAAAAAAGCACTGTGGTTTTCATTTAAGGTGGATTTTTGGGCAGGCTCTTTCACGATGTAAGAAAGGGGTGTGTGTTTATCTCGCAGGGCCAGGCCTCTCGCCCTTATCACCCCCTGGCTATCCCACAGCTCCCTCTGCACCAGGAGCCCCCTGGAGTTGGGAGGCTGCACCCCAGCACGACACTGGGGGGAAATTGGGCACGTTGAGAAGAAAAATCCCTCTGGTTTTGGGGTCTTAAATCCTCCCCTGGCTTGTTCAGTCCTGCTGCAAGTGGAGAATAAAACGAGCGTGAGGGATGGAGCAGGAGCTTGGCTCAACCTCTGCTCTCTGGCCGAGAAGAAAATCTTCAATTCCCACAGGGAGCAGAGCAATAAAGGGATGAGTGGAAAAGTTGAGCCTTATCAGCTGCAGTTAATGGGTAACCTCACAGGACACACGCTGACACTCAGATCCTCAGAACACTCCTGTCCAGTCTGACTCAGTGTCTGTTTGTTCAACATCCAGCTCTGCCCGAGATTGGGGCTGTGGGAGGCTCTAATTTCCCTTCCCAGAGCGTCTCCTTCGAGCCTGTGACCCCCAAAACACCCCAGGGAGCTGCTGGGGTACGTGACCATTCCTGTTTTATTTTTGAACATCCCCGTGCAGTTTTACCTTCAGTTCTGTGCTGCCTCCCACTTGTTTTGGTGCCTGGGAGGGTTCTGAGGCAGAGCGATAATTTTGACCTTCTCCCCTTTCCTCTTGATAAATGAATTAGTTGTCTCATAAATTCCAAGTTCCTCTTTAAAGACAAAAAAAAAAAAAAAAAAAGCTCTCTGGCAAGCTGTGAACTTCACGAGAGCAGTGCTCAATTCCCCACTGCACCTTCCTTGGGCAAGCCTGGGCAAACCACCCTGGCCCTCCGAGCCTCAGTTTCCCCTCTGTGGTGAGATGTGCTCAGATTTCTGTCCTCACTCTCTTTCCCTGCTTTGTTTTTGGGGTTTGTGGTGTGCTCAGGGCAAGCAGGTGGATTTTTCATCCTTTCTCCCTTTCCCTTTCCTGAAGCAGTTTCACACAATGAGGCCACCCCAAATCTTCTCCAGGCTGAGCAACCCCAACCCTTTATCTTCCTAAATTTGAGTGCTGGATCCTTGCTTCCCCATGAAGGGCAGAGGGATTTATTGGAAATTATGGGATTTATCTTCCCAAATTCATGTGCTGGATCCCTTCTTTCCCAGGAAGGGCAGAGAGGAAGCAGAACATCTGGAATTATGGATTTATCTTCCCAATTATATGTGCTGGATCCCTGATTTCCTGGGAGGGGCAGAGGGGAAGCAGAACATTTGGAATTATGGGATTTATCTTCTCAAATACCTCTGTGGGATTCCTGCTTCCCCATGAAGGGCAGAAGGGAAGCAGAACATTTGGAATTATGGGATTTATCTTCTCAAATACCTCTGTGGGATTCCTGCTTCCCCGTGAAGGGCAGAAGGGAAGCAGAACATTTGGAATTATGGGATTTATCTTCTCATCTGCCTGTACTGGATCCTTGCTTCCCTGGGAAGGGCAGAGGGATTTATTGGAAATGATGGGATTTATCTTCCCAAACTCGTGTGCTGGATTCCTACTTCCCTGCGTGGGGCAGAGGGATTTATCAGAAATTATGGATTAATCTTCCCAACTCTGTGTGCTGGATCCCTTCTTTCCCAGGATGGGCAGAGGGATTTTTTGGGAAGGATGGGATTTATCTTCCCAACTCTGTTTGTGCTGGTTGCCTTCATGGCCAGGAAGGGCTGAAGGATGGAAAGCAGGGAAGGAACCCCTGGATCTGCCTTCCTCACCTGTCTGGGTGTCCTCACCTGTCTGGGTGTCCTCCCCTGTCCCCATCCCTGTGAGTGCTGGGCTGAGCTCCCACCCCGGCTCCATCAGCTCCGGGCACTTTCTCCCCCCGGGCAGGATGGGATCAGATCATCTTTGGCTCCTTCCATCGCCCAGCATGTGATCCCTGCTCCAGACCAAGGCCAAATCGCTCAGGTTTACAAACACAGCCCCAGGAGCCTCTTCTGAGCAAAGCCTCGTGATCCCACGCTGCCGTTCCCTTCCTGGATCAGCTTTTGTTTGTTTTGTTTTGTTTTTCCTGATGTCTCCCAAAACGTGCCCTCCTCAAACCCAGGCTGGATTTTGGCAGGAGCAATCCCAGCTCCTCAGGTGGGAACGCTTTTCCAAGCACAAAATATTGTTCTTTTGGGACTAGAACTGGAGGGATTAATGAGAAATTTCGGTTTGGAAGGAGCTAAAATTAAAACCCTGCGTGTGCTGAGTCATTCCCTGATTTCCATGGATTGTTTTTTACAGGCAGCTCCGGGAGCTTCTTTGCCTTCCCTGCAGCACTGGGGGAGCAGAGCCAAGGTGGAGTAATTCTATTCCAGGGAATTCGGACCAATGCCATTTAATTCCGATTTCAATATCCTGAATCAGGCTCTAAATGTGAAAAAAAAAAAAAATTATAAATCAGGGATGAAACGACAGCAGCTCCACCCATGGCTGGAAAATCCCTTCCCCATGGCACTGCTCTGTCTCTTGGCTGCCTCGGGGCTGGGTGGCTTTTGCCAAATTTTCAGAAGAAGCCAACGGGGGGGGTTGCTCCCCTTTTTGCAGGAGCAGCATCGCAAAAACGCTCTGGAAAAATCCCAGATTTGGGGGACGCAGGGACAGGGAAGGGAAGCTTGGGGTGCTCGCAGAGCCCTGAAATTGTCCAAGGCCGGGTTGGATGGGATTGGAGCATCTTGGGACGGTAAAATGGGATTTAAAATGGGATTTAAGGATGGGATTTAAGGTCTTTCCCAACCCAAATCTGGGATTTCAAGATTCCATGACACGGGGACAAGGATGAGAAACCCCAGACCCACAGAGGGGTCTGATCCCAGCCAAAAGGGTCCCAAATATTTATAGAAATAAAATATATAATCACTACAAAAGT